CTGATGGAAACCACTTCCAGCAGGGCCAGAACGAAGATGACAAAACCTCCAGAGAAGTAATCCACGAGTCCCAGTACGTAAGGTCCGGCCTAGATATAAAGGGAAAGCCTTCATTACGACAATGTTGAAATTCAATTTCGAAGCTGCATTCGTGATACTCGCCGGTGTGACGTATGTAAGGCCGATGAGGAAAGAGAAGATGCACAGGGCGACAGTTACAATCCTCCTGTCCCACGAGGGGAATCTGTCACAAATGACCGTGATGACACAGCCGATCAGGGCCACTGCGCTCCCCACCCCTAGAGTCCACAACATCAGGAAGAATATCGCCGCAAACAGCTGTGAAATCAAATGTGAAATCATATAAAATCACATCAACCATCACTACAATAGCATTTAACCCTCAAAAGGTATCCTTGTCCTCCTTATGCCACTAGTACAGTGACCCCAGCAATGAAAAGTATTTAAAGAAATTAAGCTTTTTAGAATGAAAAGTTAGTTATCGTGGCAGCTTCATTGATAACTTCCTAATAAAGGTCCTAATGCCTCATGAAGGTACCGGGATGGAACATTTATCACAAGCGCCATCTCTCGGTCATCGACTCTTACGACCCAACAGTACCAGTTGCAGGGTTGGAACGACCAAAAACGAGAAAGCACCTGTGGAACGGCATCCAATTTGGCGATGGCATCTGGATAGGAGATGAAGGCGAGCCCAGTGCCGGCCTTCACGACATCTTCTATTTTTTTGTCCGAGGTATGGGCCAAGTTCCCAAGGATGGAGAAAATGGAGAACCCTGCCAAAAGACTCGTGAATGTGTCCATCACGCTGATGATCATAGCATCCCTGGAACGCAAAGAGCACGTGAATAAATTCGGATCGAAGAAGGTAACAAGTTCAGTTTCAGGGTCAAATTTGTAGCAGGTGTCACAGGCGAGTGCCGAGTTTATGTGTTAGTACCGAAAACTAATGTCGATTTCTTTCTTTTCAAAATTACTAATATTGTACCAAAATGAAAATAATTGTCTCTAAAACGCATTCGGTATCTTTGGTTTTCCACTTTCGTAGGTTCATTTTTAGAACCAGAGCGAATGCCAGCTAAAAAGCGAATGACAGCGCATTCTAAGTTTTTGCGAGAGCAACACCAGGTTCAATTCGACTCCGTGATAAATCGACTGTATTTCTCACCTGTACACATTATGTGTGAATGGATTGTACGAAGCATACATGGAAATGGAGCCGAAACCGACCGAGAGGGAGAAGAAACACTGAGACACTGCCGCGAACCAAACCTGAAAGGAAACGGAAGCTCTAGATCGATTTTCTACGGGAAAAAAAAGTAAAGAGCAGAAATCGAGCTGACTCACTTTTCCCTCGGCGAGTTTTTCCCACTGGGGTGTGATGAAGTACTTGATCCCATCCACGGCTCCTTCGAGCGTAGCTCCCAGGATGAGCAAGGTGACGAGCACGACGTAAGGGAACAAGGCGGTGAAGTACGAGATCCTTCCCGAGCTCTGAACTCCTCGGATGAGAGAGAAGACGATCATGGCCCAGGAGAAGAGGAGGCACAGGGTCAGCCTCCACTCGGGCGCTCCCAGTCCTTCGTCGACGCCTTGAGTTGAATTATACTGTTTCAACACTTCGTTCCTAGAAACACAAAGAGGCATTCGAGTTGGAGGGTTTAAATATGAATGTCCCATATGATATTATGCAATAATCCACTGGGAATTAATGTGAAAACATCTAGACATGGGAAATGCCAAACTTGAAAATTCCCAACTATAATGAAATTATTATAGTTTGTTGAAGAATAACTTAGCAGCGGAACGCATGACAGAACCGGCCTTGAACGGCAAAGAGTAAAATGCTTCGATATGCTCATATTCTGCTTCTATGCTTGCTTGCATGCTTACATTTCAGAAGGCGGAACACCGGATCGAATTCCCAAGTTTCGACATGAAAGCCCCAGCAGATGGCGAACGGACAGAAGACTCACACGTAGTAGTTTTCGGAACACGTCAAATTGGCGCTCAGAGTTTCGTTCGAACATTCCGCCCAAGGGAGCTCTTTGTTGAAGCACTTGATGAAGTAAAAGACGCAGGTCGCCATGATGCTCACGTAGTACGTTACCACGGCGAGGGTGGCGACCATCTGTCCATAGCCAATGCCTGCAAAAGGAAATTAGACCGTCTATTCAGCGGATACTGCAAATATGTTGCTCATACTTTAAGCGATTCAGATTATTAAGTTAGATTGTTAAAGGACTTATTTGATGTGCCGCTCAAGTCGCCTTTTACGAATCCCGAATTTTTCTGAAGTTACATTTCTAATATTAAAATGAATTTTGGAGGTGAATTTGTCATGATTGCTTAGAATTGAATGATGTCTTGGCGAGACAAGACGGCTAATTTGTGACATTGTGAACGCTTGAGTTGAAAGTCCCCGTCCGTGATAAAATGTTCAGAAAATACAGGAAAAATATATTTAGAGTTCAGATACCATTTTGCGTTAAGAAAGTATGCTTAAGCTCTTCGCAAGTTCAAACCCGTTTGGTTCCTAATCGTGCGTTCGTGGAAAACGCTTCTTTGTGCGACAGCGGCGACAATACCGAACGCAAGAAAGTAAGATTTCGTCGCACTGACTCTCAAGACCGTGAAGTCATTCTAAATGACGTCAGCTCAGTTATTCATTGAGATTAGACGAATCTTGATGGCCTTGGACGGACAGGGTGGGCGGGAAACCCAAGAATGCATCATTCCTGACCGCGACCGGAATTACGTCGCAACTCGTCCGATGGGCGCCTAATGCGTCGTGCTCAAAATCGTTGCGCAATGGAATTTCAGCCATAACTTTAAAGCACATCGATAAGACTTCTAAGGTATTTGAGGGAAAGATATGACTCGAGAGTAATAAGAGACGGTTAATCTAGAGTTTCAAGTTTATCTTGCAACTGAAAAAAAAACGGGGAATTTGTGTACTTCAGGATCCAGTGCATGGCGTGCGGACTTGTTGACATTCTATCTATTAATATTTGGGTATATAGATGAGAGCATTTTGCGATCAGGCTCTCGCAGACTCAGCGAACCGATGCTAATATAAAATCGTCGTGAAAATCGGCTTCGAAAGTCCCAGCCGTGCTTGCAGCTCTAATTAACCTAAATTAAATTAACCTAAACCAACTCTAAATAACCCGCTACAATTTTTGCGAGTGAAAACTTAATTTTTTTCTTTTATATTTTAATTTTATCATTTGGGAGCATGGACGCTTCTGATGATGATTCCTAGCAAGACATCCACCTCTCATTGCAGGGACGGCGGACCACATGCGGACGCAGCCGAAGGAGGAGAACTGCCCGATGACGAGCTCGAGGAAGTAGAGCGGCTTCCCGATGACGAAAAGGACGATG